TTCTGTAGCGTTTTTTGATATTACAGTAACGCACGCATGCCATGTAGCGTAGTGGTACACTGTCAGAGGTTGGCTTGGAACTGCCACATCCCAGGTGCTGAGTTCGAATCTTGCAGCAGGCAGACTCTGTCGTTACCACGAATTCCCCTGAGCAATGAATTTATCACATGTTGTGTCAGACCGCACTAATTCGGTCAGTAGACCGTCAGGCTCAGAACCCTTAAGTCAAGTGTTCAAGCCACAGTCTGGGCCACTTGTCTTTCTTTCTATTGAGGTTGAAAAACGAGTACAATTCTGATAAATGAGTGGAAACGAACCAGGAAAATACAGACCATGAAAATACAGATCAGCGCTGCCGTCATTGACATCAAAGAAAATGGGTGCTAAAGTTGATCCCATGATGCAAGTGCAGGAAGACAAATAATTCTTTTTCTTCTTCTTCATGTCATGAAAAACAGAACTTTGCTTAGTCGGAATGACTCCTTAGTGGTTTTATGGTGAGTAACGTGAAGAATTGTTGGATGCATGACTGATTGGCGCCCAAGGATATCTGGTAATGCAGATCACTTCATGTTTTTCATTGCGTAGATGCACTCAGCGTCTTGGTCGTATTTAAGAATAAACCATTAGAAATAAAGTAGTCATTCATGTTAGGGATGGTTATGGGGGACGATGATGATGACGATAATGATTGTAAGATTTTGACAAGGACGATAAACACGATGATGATGGTACCTCACCGATTTAACATATAAAAATTATGTTTCTAAAATTTTCCTTATTTCTTTTACTTCAACAAGCGCCACATCAAAATATAAAACTCATTGTGTTAATGCATATGTGGTAGTTGTATTGTTTAACATGAAAGCTAGTTTTAGGATATTGCACAATCACAGAATAGCGCTGAATTGATGACACCCTGGTCGTCCAGAAAACGTTACACTCCTCCGCTGCTTCTACCCCTTCCGACAGACTTTTTGAGAATCTCTGGAATCAGTCGTCCGTCTGGTGCCATCCATCCGAACTCTTCTCCGATGTCATCCGGGTTCGAAGTACG